GCATTTTACTGACAAAATTCGACCTGAAAATGTGAAGCCAATATCACTTGATGAAGCTTTCGAGATGTTCTGTCAAGGAATCCATAGCTTCGGGCCTTTCTGTGATCATGTTTTGGGGTATTGGGAGGCAAAACAAAGCAATCCCATCAAAATCTTGTTTGTAAAATATGAAGATCTCAAGGAAAAGATCGTTTCTCACACAAAGGAGTTGGCGGAGTTCTTGGGGTTTCCATTCTCTGAAGAGGAAGAGAAACAAGGAATAGTTGAAGAAATTGTCAAATTGTGCAGCTTTGAGAACTTGAAAGAATTAGAGGTGAACAAGAGTGGCAAACACCCTTTTGGGACACCAAACAAGGCCTACTTTCGGAAGGGAGTGGTGGGAGATTGGAGCAATTATCTCACACCTTTAATGGTGGAACGTTTCCATAAACTTATTCAAGAAAAGTTGGATAAGTCTGGTTTAACATTCAATTTGTATTGTGAACCCAACAATGATACTTTTGCTCAATAGATAATTATGTCTCATTTGGATGTAATTCGGTTATAAAATGTTAAACTTTTAATTTTAATTGCCATGTTTTAAATTTTAACAATGTAAAAAATAAAAAATAATTGTGTCATTTGCTCGTTTCGCCTTTTCTTATTTTGCTTTTAATTAATAAATTTCTTATTTTCCTTATATGTGCAATTTAAATTAATTGTTTAAACCTTTTCTTACAACTTATTATTTGTGTCTTTATTTCATTCGTATATCTAAAATTTTATTAATAAAATACATGAAAATTATATGTACAATAAATATTATTAAAAAGTACTCAAAAATTATTTCTCTACACAAGTAGCCTCCAAAGGAAAAACTAAAGCCTGGTTTAGTACGACCTTAGTTGAAGAGGGTCTGTGCTATTGGCTGGATCCAGGTTGAGGCAATAAGGGCAAGTCCACTAAAATATAAAAAAATTAGTAAAATTATGAGAAATAAATTTAAAATTTTTATTTTTTTATCCCATTAATTGTAAAAAAAATATTGTAAGTATAAGTTTCATTGGTGGAAACACCATTGATATTAAGGTGTCCATGAACATTCCAAAAATTAAAAAACATAGTTTGATTGATTGGATGTGAACAAGAATGCACACACATTTCAGGGATTCGACACAACACCTTGTTCAGGAAAGCAAAACCGGGAGATTGGATCAATTATCTCACACCTGCAATGGTAGAACGTTTGAAAAAGCTTATTCAACACAAGTTGGATAAGTCAGGTTTAACATTTAAACTATCATGCAAATCTCCAGAGCATGATTGTGCATAATGGGTATCTTTTAGTTTTATTAGTTTATGTTTCGTTCACGTTGGGTATTGGATATCTGTCTGTACGAACCACTTTATGTTGCTACTTATTTGCCTTTTGCTGCAGGCGGTAGTTTGTGCTAGCTGGAATTGTTTTTGGTTGCCAGCAAAATAATCGTCTTGTAGACAGTGCGTATAATGTTGTCAGAGTCTTAAATTTTAAATTCAGATAACTTCGAATAAAAAAATTGTATTTAATCTCTATCGTGCTAATTTGTCATTACAACTTTTTATATAATACATGATAAGTAATATTATATTCTCATTATAATAATTAAATATAATTTGACAGTTTTAAATATAAAAAAAATTTACTCCTTTTAAAATCGTTTGGGTCTTTTTTTTCTTTTAAAAAGTTTAAGAAAAAAAACTTTAATTTTGATGTATTTAATATTAAAATTTTAATTTTTTATAAAATTTAAAATTTCATAATTTTTAATATAAAAATTAAAAAATTATGAAAATATCTTTAAAATATATAAAAAGTTTTAGGTTTTAAAAATATATATTTGAGACATTAAAAAAGAAAAATAAAAAAATAGACGAAAAAAGTTTGAGTGTTTAATTAGTGATTATATTTCATATTCACAACATTTATTGTTTCATAATTCTAAATTTATTTTTTCCTTCCTTCTTTTCAAATGGGCCCAAACGAGAATGCGTCTTTCGCTCTCCACTTGTGTGGACTTTTCTATAGTTCGCGATTCCTCCTCCCCACGATATTTCTTTTCCAATGATCTAAAAAAATCATTTTTATATTTCTTTAAATATAATATTCGTACCATTTCATCATATTGACAGCTGTAAACCGAGATTTATTGTGGTAAAGAAAATCTTCTTGGTCAATGGGAATCAACTTTCTGGAAAAATAAAAAATGACGAAATTTTATTGTAATTATTTATATATTATAAAGAGGTTTAAAGTTTGTTTATACATAAATAAAATGTTATAAAATAAAAATATAATAAATAAAAATAATAGTTAAATTAATATTTAATATTCTTTAAATTAATATTAAATTAATATAAAATATTATTAAAATAATATCATTAATTTAGAATACTATTAGAATATTACTACAATATTATTGACACCATTATAAACTCAGGATAGTAATGTAGATGTCAACTTAAATTTAAAAATTTAGATAAAAAATTTATTAGGTGGATGTGATTAGTGAAGATATTTACTTTTTGATCACTGGTAATAGAAATCAGTCGAAGAATTTGAGTAAATAGATGATAATGAATGAAGTGATAATCAATTTTAATATGTTTAGTACGTTCATAAAAACATAATTGTGAGCTATTTGAATGGCACTTTAGTTATCACAAAATTATCTTTAAAACTTTTGTCATATAATAGAATATCGTATAGTTCAATTTGTGTATCATAAACGTGTGAATCTCTATTTAAATAATTTAATTTAAATTCTCATTATTCTACGTAAAGACAGAAATATTATATGCACTCATCTTAATGATAATTAAATTAAAAAAAAATCAATAAATTATTTAAAATATAAAAGAAAGAAAAAAAGCTCACCTAACTTTTGTGATGTTCATATTATATATATTGAGTAGCACTTGAAAAAAAGTCATCAATTTGTAATTCATTGCAATATAAATTCCTTTTTGGTAAGGCTGCCCCCATTGTTCTATCTTCAATTTTCTAATGGATACAATAGAAATCTACAAGAACAATAATGCTTTATTAGCAAGGCAAAAATATCAAGAAGAGTCATGGGATGATGAATTCCAAGAATTGGATTTTTTTTTTTTTGAAGTTTTTGAGCTTTGGGGAGAAAAAAAAAGGTTTTTCCGTTTTGCAGGCACTACGGTTACAGAGAGTGGCAGGTAGGAAAGGAAAGGGAAGTGAAATTGTTTTGGCTATTAAATGAATCTAGGTTCAACCACCATTCACTAAATAAATCACAAAATCCGACCCATTCGATGGGTTTTGTGTTGATCAATCTAGATTTTTTTTTCAAAAAAAAATAATACAATTACCTTGAGTTTTTATTCAAATAATTGAGCTCAAAATCTCAGATCAATAAAATAACTAATCGAGTTTGAGTGTTCACCGAATCAAGCTTGAGAAACTTGAGAGCATATTTTACTAATTTAGAACAATAAACTAGACTTAACATTGTTAAGTAAATGTTAAAGGAAAACAAACAGCAAATGGTTAACATAGTGTCAAATTTTAAATTTTAGGAGACAATTATAGGTCTTAATAACTAATTTTCACATTTTTATAAAATGTATGTACCCTTTGTCTTTTAATTACTTTTCTTTAATATATAGTATACTTTTTTACATAAAGATTTGATCTTGTAGGAATACTATTAATATATTTATGATTATTTATTCCAATACTAATAGGACTTCCCAAATTTATTTTATTCATATTTGCTTCAAGAATTTTCAATGGAACAATTACTTGAGTTGAGTTATTAACAAATTTTCACACTCCAAGTTTTAAGGTTTTAAGTGAATATCCAAAAATTATACAAGAGATAGTTTAATACCATGTTTGGATTGAGGGGAGGGGAAGAGAAAAATAAAATAAAGAAAAGTAATGAAAACAGAAAAATATTTTCTTTGTTTGGATAATTTTTAATTTAAAAAAAAAGAGATGAAGATCTAATAACTTTTGATTTCTTTTGTAATCCTCACTTTTTTAATACTTCGATTCGAGGAAAAAGCTAAAAAAAATTGAAAATATTTTATTTTTATAAAAAAGTTATTATATTCATATTTTTATTATGACATTAGATTTGATTATATAATTGATATTTTTTACAAAAAAAATTTTTTTATAAGTTTTTTATATAACATCATAGTTTATAAATATTTTATGTTTTTTTAAATATTAACAATAAAACGAGCCAAATTATTGTCAGAATAAATTAAGAGGCTAAATTAAATACAAAATTAAGAGTAAATCAATAATTAACTAAAACATCTTATTGTATTAAATATTTTTAACTTTTAATTTTTAATTTTAATTTTAATTTAATTATTTTAATAAATAATTTCATGAATTATTTATTAATTAATTATTTAATTATGCTTTTACTTGTGTAAATGTTTAATTAATTGAGTTAGAGCCTTTTGGCCTAATACAGAGCGTGATTGTGCATGATGGGTGTCTTTTAGTTTTATTAGTTTATGTTTCGTTTACGTTGGGTATTGGATATCTGTCTCTGTAAGAGCTACTTTATTTATGTGCTAGCTGGAATTGTCTTAGGTTGCCAGCAAAATAAAGAGTCACCATTGACTCTCTTTGCGAGGAAAAAAAAAGAAAAAAACTCTTTTTTTTCCACCTATTTACGTTTTTGTTGTCTCTTTTGCAGTTTGCATTAGAATTGTCTTATATACGTTACCAGCAAAATAAATTGCTTTGTGTAGCAAATTTTGCAGTTGTTTTATATATAATTTTATTAATTTGTCTAGAAAAGTATTTGTGGGTCTAATAGGATCGAATTAGATTTCTGATGTTCAATTCATCAATTTATTTATTTTTAATTTGTTATTAAAATATATAAATTATTTTAAAATTATAATATGTTTTAAAATTAAAATATAATAAAAACTTGTTATTTAATAATAACATCTCTACAAAAATGTTTTAATTATATCTTTGAGGCTTGAAGAAGGTAGGAGTTACAAGGCAGAGCAGGCAATTTTATCCCATTTGGACAACTTTTACAGTAATAATGTTGACATTACACCTACTCGATAATGGGTCTTATACGTTATATACGATTTGGGAAGCTATTAACCTAGAAAAAATAAAATTCTTACATATACATTTGGTGCTTCTGGGACACGCCACATGTCTTTGGTTCCATAGGCTACAACATTGAAATATGACAACTAAAAAAGACATAGATGAGGGAACAAAAATCAAATTGAAATAGAATAATACTAGGAAACCAACTTCTATAAATTTCTTAAAGAACTAGTTTAGAGTGTCCATTTCTAATTTTCTATCCCGTATTCTCACAAAATTAATACTGCAGGTTTCGTTATGGATGCAACAGAAATCGCCAAAGACATTAATATTGTCCCCACACCCCAAGATGAAGATCATGAGGTGAATTGGGAGGATGAATTCCAAGAATTGATGCAAACCCTTCCTAAAGAAAAAAGCTGGTACGGACGTGATCTTTATTTCTATCAAGGATTTTGGTGCCCATTTTCTGTATTTAAAGCTGTGATTTCTTTCCAGAAACATTTCCAAGCTCTTGATAGTGATATTTTTGTCACAAGTTTGCCGAAATGCGGCACTACTTGGCTCAAGGCTTTGACTTTCTCAATTGTGAATCGCAACCAATTTGCAATGGAGCAAAGCCCCTTGCTCAGTTTAGGCCCTCACCAACTTGTTCGTTCCTTTGAGTATGATCTTTACTTGAACAACCCTTGTCCTGATCTTGAAAATAGTTGTGTTTATCAACCAAGACTTCTCTCCACCCACATTCCCTATGCTTCTTTGCCTCCTTCCATTAAAGATTCCAACTCCAAAATTGTCTACATGTGTAGAAATCCAATGGATACATTCGTCTCGCTTTGGTTTTTCACTGACCAGTTTCGACCCGAAAACGTAAAGCCATCATCACTAGATGAAGCTTTTGACATGTTATGCCAACAAATCCATGCGTTTGGACCATTTTTTGATCATGTATTAGGGTATTGGAAGGCAAGCCAAGAAAAACCCAACAAAATACTATTTTTACAATACGAAGATCTTCACGAAAACATCATATCTCATCTAAAAAAGTTGGCCATGTTCTTGGGGTTTCCTTTCTCAGAGGAGGAAGAGAAACATGGAGTAATTGAAGAAATAGCAAAAATTTGTAGCTTTGGGAACTTGAAAGAATTGGATGTGCACAAGAATGGCACACACATTTCAGGGATTCGACCCAACACCTTGTTCAGGAAAGGAAAACCGGAAGATTGGATCAATTATCTCACACCTGCAGTGGTAGAACGTTTGAAAAAGCTTATTCAACATAAGTTGGATAAGTCAGGTTTAACATTTAAACTATCATGCAAATCTCCAGAGCAAGATTATGCATGATGGGTGTCGTTTAGTTTTATTAGTTTATGTTTCGTTCATGTTGGGTATCGGATACCTGTCTGTAAGACTCACTTTATATTGTCTTTTAGTTTTATTAGTTTATGTTTCGTTCATGTTGGGTATTGATATCTGTCTGTAAGAACCACTTTATATTGCTACTTATTTACCTTTTGCTGCCGGCGGTAGTTTGTGCTAGCTGGAATTGTTTTAGGTTGCCAGTAAAATAATTGTCTTGCCAGCAGTACGTGTAATGTTGTCAGAGTCTTAAAATTTTAATTTCAGATAACTTCGAATAAAAAATTGTTGTTTAATCTCTGTTGTGCTAATTTTTCATTATAACTTTTTATATAATATATGATAAGTAATATTATATTCTAAATTATAATAATTAAATATAATTTGATAATTTTAAATATGAAAAAATTTATTCCTTTTAAAATTGTTTGGGTCTTTTTTGACTTTATAAAGTTTAAGAAAAAGGACTTTAATTTTGATGTATTTAATATTAAAATTTTAATTTTTTACAAAATTGAAATTTCATAATTTTTAATATCAAAAATTAAAAAATTATGAAAATAGCTTTAAAATATATAAAAGGTTTTATGTTTTAAAAATATATATTTGAGACATTAACAAATAAAAATAAAAAATAGACGAAAAGAGTTTGATTGTTTAATTAGTGATTATATTTCATATTCACAACATTTATTGTTTCATAATTCCAAATTTCTTTTTTCCTTCTTTTTAAATGGGCTTATACGGGAATGCGTCTTTTGCTCTCCACTTGTGTGGACTTTTTCTATAGTTGGGGATTCCTCCTCCCCACGATATTTCTTTTTCAATGATCTAAGTTGTAATCTTAATCATGATCTTTTATTAAGCATATAATTTTTATTAAAATCAATATCTAATATTCTTTAAATAAATATCAAATTAATCTAAAATATTACTAAAATATTACTAGAATAATATTATCAATATAAAATATTATCAGAATATTACTATAATATCATTGACACCCTTCGTAAACTCAAGATGGTAATATAGAGGCTACCTGATTTTGAAAACTTGGACAAGAAATTGATCAAGTGGATATGATTTGGTGAAAATATCTGTTATCTAATCAACATTAATAATAGGAAAAGTCGAAGAGTTTAAGCAAGCAGATGACGACGAATGAAATAATAGTCAATTTCAATATGTTTAATATGCTAAAGCAGATGACGACGAATGAAATGATAGTCAATTTCAATATGTTTAATATGCTCATGAAAAACATAATTGTGACCTATCTGAATGGTATTTTGATTATCACAAAATATAAGAGTACTAGAGTGATAAGAAACATCCATAAGCTAAAATAGCTATTGTAACCATAAAAGTTCTGATATGGCATATGCAAGAGCTCGGTACTTAGGTTCAGTGCTAAAGCAAGATACCATAGTTTGTTTTTTACTTCACTAAGAAATAGAAAAAGAACTAAAAAAAAAAAATAGTAGCTTATGGTAGAATGATGATCAGTAAGATCTCCTACCCAATCAACATCTTAATAATAATGCAAGTCCAAAAAGTAATTAGAAAAAAAATACAAACTATAGAATATAGTACCCTTGACATATCATAGGATCTAAAAGATCGTAACAAAACAAATAGATCGAGGAGCAAATAAAAATTGACTAACCAAATTAATAGCATAAGCAATGTCTAAACGAGTAACTATCAAGTATACAAGCTTACCTATCAGAGTTTGATACAAAGAAGGGTTTGGAAGTGTTGAACCATCAGAAGGAGAAAGCTTCAAATTCTATGCAAGTGATGATGATGCAATCTTGCTATCAATTAAATCTGCTTGAGCAATAAGATCAAAAGCATACTTTGTTTGAAACAAATGTAAGTGAATAGAATCATAAGTGACTTCAAGGCCTAAAAAATAACTTAAAAGACCAAGATCTTTCATTTCAAACTTAAAATGAAGAAAAGTCTTTAGGTATTGAATACTATTTACGTCACTACCCGTAATGATCATGTCATCCACATAAAATAAAAAAAGAGTAGTACCATTTTTAGTAGTTCAAGTAAAAAGAATAGAATCATGATTACTAGATGTAAAATCAAGTTGTGCAATAGTAGTACTAAACTTTGAGAACCTAACTCTAAGAGCTTGCTTAAGACCATATAGAGCACATCGAAAATGACAAACCATGTTGAAAGTTACAGATGAACTAGAAAATGGCTTCATATAGATTTACTCAGCGAGATCGCCATTTAAGAAGGCATTTGTAACATCTATTTAAAAGGTTGGTCACTTCTAGTTGCAGCAATAGCTAATAATGAATAAACATATGTGAGATGTGCAACTAGGGCAAAAGTTTCTTTATAGTTAATGGCATATTCTTGTGTAAATCCTCGAGCAACAAGACAAGCTTTATAATGTTTCACTAACCCATTAGATCTAGTCTTGATCTTATAGACCCACTTACAATCAATCAATAACTTATCAAAAGGTTATTCAACAATATCCCAAGTATGAGTTTTTTCAAGAGCTTAAAGCTCTTTTGTCATTGTTTGCTGCCACATAAGATTAAAGATAGCTTCAAGAAAATTGTGAGGTTTATGTAACTTGGCTAAAGCATAATAATAGTGAAAATCATAAAGTTGATCATTGGGTTCATTTACCAGAGTAGAACGATGAAATGAAGGCATTATGTCTAGTGAAGGGATAATTGTATCAATAGAAGCCTCAATCAGATCAAACATAGTAGGAGTAGAAGAAAATAGATCATTATTTGGGTCAAAAGTACCTATAATAGTCTCTTCATTTGAAGAAAAATCAAAAAATAAATTTGTAAAAATACATGGATAAGGATATGGTGAATGTAACGAGGACACACTAATGAACCTTTTATGTTTCTAAAAACTACATGAACAAAAACATGGTGAATGTAATGTAGAGGTTTAGACACTAAATCATAACATCTATACCTCTTATGTTTTATACCATAACCTAAAAAATAACACAATCTAGCTCTAGGTTCAAGTTTAGTCTTTTCATGAGTAGGAAGTATAACAAAGCAAACACATCCAAAGACTTTGAGAAAATGATAGTCATGTACCTTATTATATAGATACTCTTAGAAAGATCGTGTGTCTAATACTGGTGAGGGAACATGATTAATAGTGTAAATACTAGTGAGAATAGCTTCACCTTAAAAATGTTCAGGAAATGAAGAGAAAATAAGAAGGGCATTAATTGTGTTAAGAATATGATGATGTTTTCTTTCAACTCAATCATTTTATTGTGAAGTATATGGGCAAGACTTATGAGAAAAAGTCTCATCATCCTTTATCAAGTTACGAAACTCAATTTTTGAATATTTAGCAACATTATTAGACCTAAAAATTTTTATTTTTCTAGAAAATTGAGTTTGTATCATGTTATTGAATTCACAAAAAATGGATAAAAGTTCAGTTTTTTGTTTAAATAAATATATCCAAGTAGAACAAAAGAAATCATTAACAAATATAACAAAGTAACGTGAACCTCCTAAGGTTGGTGTGGGAGCTGGACCCTAATATCAAAATAGACTAAATCAAAAGGAGTAGATGAGATAGAATCACTTTTATTAAAAGGTAAAACACTTTGCTTTCCAAGTTGACAAGACAAATAATAAAAAATATCATGAAAAATATTACCTAAGACATAAGTGGAAGCAAGTGACTTTATTTGAGAAATAGATGCATGTCCTAAACTAGAATGCCATAAATCTAAAGAAACTGATGAGTTGGTTGTTTAAGATGTAGTAACAGTAAGCAAATGTTATGGAATTTTCAAAGTTTCAAGCTTAAACAGTGTTCCAATCTTACATATTATCCTAACTTTCTGAACTGTTTAAAAATCTTACACAATATAGCTATATCATTATGAAATATGCAAATCAAGACTAAAGTCACAAAGTTAGCCAATAGAAAATAAATTTAAGGCAATATTAAGAACAAGGTAAATGTCAAGATATTTATAGTTTTGAGGTTTCAATATTACCAATGTGGCTAGCTTTTAAGATAGATTCATTTGTTATATTTAATGATTGAATCATTAGATACATGTATCTTGCTTTTAAATAAAAAATGGTCAGTAGTCATATAATTTTCATAAAACAGTGTCAAATAATCAAACATTAACTGATGTGGTAACATACATGACAGGAACATGAGATCGAGATAATACTTAATTGAACAAAGTTTTAAGATCAATGATGGAGATTGTAATAGTCTCAACAGAAAATAAAAAATGTTTGGTTCAGTGGTTCTTGTCGTAATAGTCTTATTAGTGTGAGGATCATGAATTAGACTACCTTTATAATGATATTTAGCTCTACATTTCTGAATGATATGATTAGTCCTCCCACATCATGAACAAGACTTGTGAAAAGTAAAGCTAGTACTTTTTTAAAAAGTAGTAGCAATAATAGTATCAACACTATGAGTTTGACTCATATCCAATCGAGTTTCCTCATATATCAATTCCATATGAGCATTATCCATAGTTGGTAAAGGATGTCGACATAAAAGTGAAGACTTAGTATTCTCAAATTCATTTCGAAGTGTCATTAGAAATTGAATAAGATGAATTTGATTTCGATAAGTAATAAAATTACTAGCATCACTTTCATCTTTGAATTTTAGCTCAAAACTTTCAAGTATGTCCCATAAATTAGACTATATTTATAATGATACTTAGCTTTACATTTTTGAATGATATGATTAGTCTTTCCACATCATGAACAAGACTTGTGAAAAGTAAAGCTAGTACTTTTCTGAAGAGCAGTAGCAATAATAGTATCAATACTATGAGTTTGACTCATACCTAATCGAGTTTTCTCATATATCAATTCTATATGAGCATTATCTATAGTTGATAAGAGATGTCGAGGTAAAAGTAAAGACTTAGTATTCTCAAATTCATGTCGAAATGACATTAAAAATTGAATAAGAGAAATTTGATTTCAATAAGTAATAAAATTACTAGCATCACTTTCATCTTTGAATTTGAGCTCAAAAATTTCAAGCATGTCTCATAAATGTTGCATTTTAGAATAGAAATCATTAATTGACTAATATGATTCTTAACAAAGACAAGATAAAATGGTCAAAATATGATATTGATAAGTAAGGATAATAGAACTATACCGTATGGTAAAAAAATCTCAAACATTTTTAGTAAGTTTAAATCGTCCAAAATGTACATTGATAAAA